GCAGGCCGGCGCCACCGTCGGACATGGGGCAGTGCACAACATCCGCCCGGGCAGAACCGCCCTTCTCGACACCGCGGAACGCCCGCTCAATGGCAAGGCCGGCGTCGCACGCGGTGAGCGTCCCCTTAAAGGAGTCACAGCATGCCAGCACGCGCTCCCACGAATACTGCGTCGTCGAAGAAGGCATTTGAATTAATTATCGAATGAGTACTCACCTCGGATTTACTGGCTGTTCTTGCTCTCTGGGTTGTCATTCGCCGTCGCCGCCAGCACGTCAAGAGGGCAGGAAGAGAAGGCAAAGAGGAGAATCGGCGCAGGAGGAGGGCAAGGCAATGACAGACACACGCGTCAAGGTGTGGTGGAAGCTGCATACCGGGAGACACACGCCCGCGGAACACAAACATAGAGAAGGCGAGGGAAGCAGAGACAAACAGAAATCGTGGAGAGGCAGCATGCAGGGAGACGCGCGGGGGGAGACGCGCGGGGGGAGGGGTCCGCCCGATGCAAGAAGGTTGTTTGGCTTCCCCCGCGCAAAAGAAAAAAAGAAAGGACAGCGGCATGCAGAGGGAACGGGCACCATCCACGAAGGACGGCGTCGCGTGTTCTCCTTGCCGCCCGCCCCCGTTACTCGTTTCGCAGAAAAGCCCCCTTCATCTGCCTGGCCATCGCAGCCGCCCGGGCCCCACGCCCGCCACACGCGCACCACCACCACAACCACCGCTGCCGCCGCCGCCGTTCGCACGCCCCGGTGCATACCGCACTCAACCGCACCGCCTCCCACCCCGCACTGCAGCGGGCCTACTCCTTCACGCAGCGGCGCCCCACGTCGGGGGTCTGCGGCTGCAGGCACGTCATGGCCTCGTTCAGATGCCCCTCAATGGCGGCAAACGGGTTCTCCACAAACGAGGGAGCCTGCAGCACCTGGTCAAACAGCGCGAGCTCCGCCTTCGCCGTCTCCATCCTCGCCTCCGCCGCCGTCCTCCGGCTCGGGTGCCGTTCACGGGCCACAAGCTTCGCGGCGAGCTGGCGGTGTTGCTCCTGCTTCCGGCCACCGCCAGCAGACCGGCGTGCAGGGCGCTGCCCGTCACGTACGATCGTCGTCGCCCTTGCCGCTCCCCCGTGCTGGCCACCACGTGCGCCTCTGTGCATCCTCCTGCCGCTGCTGCTCGCGTCCTGCTTCGCGGTCAACGGCTGTCCCTCCTTCTTTGCCTTCCGCTGCAGCCGCGACTCCCGCTGCGGCGTGTCTCTCGCGCCCACGCCTGGCAAGGCCTCCGCCCCTGCGGTTCTACCGACGACCCCAACACTATTCCCACGAGAGCCGCTGTGCCCCGCAGGAGAGGCGGCGTGGGCTCCCGCACCCGTCCGTTTCAACAACCGGGGCTGCACGCCGCCGGAACTCTTCACCATCTAACACGGCAGACGTTTGCTTGAGCGCACCCAACGCATGCTTGCACACGCCGGTGCGTGGGAAAACGAGCCAAAAGGAGGAAGAGGTCACACAAACGCAGAAACCAAACAGAAAAGACAACACGCATCGGCCGCTGGCACCGGCGGCGACGCTTCCCCGCTTCTCCGGAGGCCAGGCATGGAGACTCGTCTGCCACTCAGGGTGGGGGGGGCACGCGTGAGAGCCCCGAAGAAACCCCCAGAAACAGCAAAACAAAAAATAGAAAAGGAAAAGAAGTTCTGGGCAAATAAAAAATAAAAATAAAAAAGAAGTTCCTCGGAGGGTCTTTTTCGCCGCCCATGCCAAACAAGCGTGGCAGCCAACATGTAACGAAATAAAACGTGAGACCCGGCCGGGCGGCATTGGGCATACAGCCCAAGCAGATCCACGGGAAGAGAAGACGGGCGGGAGTCACAGCAGGAGGTGCAGCACGCCGTATTTCATTGCTTCCGCAAGCGCGGCGGCGTCTGCCAGGACCTGCCGGCCACGCAGCGGACGCGCCGATCGCGGAAGCGGGGACCACACCTTCGCCAGCCGCGCCACGCCGTCGCCGCCCCGGCCTTTCTCCTCCCTCGCCCCCACACCCCGCCGGCCCCGTCGAGCACGCGCACCGCCACGCCATGGAGAGCAGACACGCTGCACCGACGGTAAAGAGGAGTGTGCCCCGCCGAACCGCAGCGCATCCCTCGCGCCGGCCTCCCCCAACAGCTGCGCCAAAAAGGCAGCCCTTTCCGCCGCCGTAAGCGCCGCCCCGGCAACGCAGTAATACAAAACCGTCGACAGCACGTCCTCCTCCCTCCGCTTCCCCTGCCGCGTTGGCTGCTGTGACGCCGGCGTGCTGCGCGCGTGCGACGTCGAGGGCTCCAGCATCGCCTGCCGCACCGACGCCCTCGCCCAGGCAAAGGAAGACGCCCCTGGGCCCTTCCGCACACCTGACGAGAAGACAACTTTTGCCTCGGGGGGCGCACTCGTCGCAGCACCGGCAGGAGCAGAGCGGCCCCCCTGGCTGAAGGCGTGCTGCGGGCGCCGCACCCACTCGTAGTGCTCCGCACCCACGCGGTACCGCACGGCGAAGAAGACACTCCCACGCCAGGGGTCGACGATCCACACACCCACGCCACCGTTGAGCGCGGGGCACTCCGCACCCGGCCCGCACCGCCCATGCGTGCCGTCCCGCTTGGCATCCCCGAGTCGCCGCCTGACGCCGTGATCCACCGCGTCGCGGTTGTTCAGTCCACATGCCGCCATGCACTGCGCTGGCCCTCCCTCCACTGGCTGTGAGAAAAGTTGCATGAAATCCACGTACTCACGCAACGTCAACGCCGGCGCAGACGGGTCGGGCAGCCCCGGAATGTGGTGCAGCACACCCACCCGCTGGCACCACACAGAGCGCACTTCGGCGCCACGGCGTCGCTTGAGGGAGAGCAACGTGCGGTCGCGGCAAGGGCGCAGGCACGTCGCATCAGCGGCATCGCCCGCATCCACGCACGCCGCACCGGGCAAAAAAAGAAAGGGGGCAGGAACCAGCACATCGTACACCGCCGCCGCGGTGTGCAGCAGCACCGGTAAGTGTTGACGGCCCACGTCGCACGCCGGCGCCTGCCCAACGCGGCGAAGCACGACACGCTCCCACGGCACCGGGTGACAACACGCCCGCACACCCCCAGGTACACCCGCCAAACCCCCCGAGAACACCGGTGGGCGCTCCTCGTCAGCCTCCGACAGCCCACCGCGGCACGTCGCTCCCTTTGGAGGGGCTGTCGCGAGCGGGGCCGGAGGGAAAACGGCCTCCAGACGCCTCAACAGCGTCGCCGGGGTCAACACAACTTCCCTGCGGAGGCCTGCCGCTGACACCGGACGCACGCAAGAGCCGCCACACCGCCGGTGCACACCGCCCCTCGCCGACGCAACAGACGCGGAGCGGCGCCACTCCCCACCGGACGTCCCGGACGTCGCAGCACCCCCGACGGCGCACGGCCTCGCCCACACACGACGCAAAAGCAAATAACACACGCACCGCATGCACGGACCGCCCTCACAGGTCTCCGGCAGCCGCGGCCCACCGCCAAGCCTGCACGACAACTACGCAAAAACAAGGCAAGGGACAAAGACAAAAGAAACTGTACGAGTGCGGCAGCAACAGCCCGAATGCGCCAACGGGAAACCAACACACTGCGATGCCAAGAGAGTGAGAAAGACACGCCACACGCCACGCACGCACAGTGGCAGCTACAGATCTGTTCAAGGAGCTGCCACAACAGCGTACGTATGTGGAAAACACAAAAATTAAAAAAAAAAATCCTAGCGACAGCGCGCCCAACACATCTTGATGCAATCCACGTTTTTCTTATTAATCATTTAAAATTAAAATGGAATCCACACAGCGTTTTGTTTTCTTGATTCTTGTTCAAGTCCTTAGAAGTTACCGTCCCTTAGAATGGTCGGCGTTATGACGACGTCTAGGAAAGACAAATGGTGGCCCGGTCCCCGCACTGCCGCGCCCGCAAAGCGT